ATTTAATTTTATTTATTATTATTATTATTATTTAATTTGGCCAGAGAGAGAGAAAGTAAGACAGCAAGCTGCCAGATCCGGGATTCAAACCTTTGTTAGCCATGTGAGAGTTCAGCACCTCCATGCCACCTGCTGGCTCCAGACCCAACTCTTTAAATGTCTCAGCAGCTATACTAGGGAGTTTAAACTTGACCATAAGAACCAGAAGTCACTAATAGATTTTTATAGTCTATAATATAATATATAAAATATTATAGTCTATAATAAAATAGTCACATCTGATCAGATGTGACTCTCCAGATGTACAAAGGCCACTAACTCAGTGATTCTCAACTTTGGTAAACATAATAGAATCATCTGAGCTTTTGAAAACTGCTGATGTCCATAGACTATGAATCAGATGATTTAGAACTGATCCCAGGGAGACCAGCAGTTGGTGTAATGGTTATGTCACTGGACTCCCATGTAGTTGACTGCAGTTCAAGTCGCAAATCCAGCAGGTTAAAACACACGCCAGGTGTGTGTGTGTACATGCCAAAAATTATGAGAGAATGGAGGAGAAGGGGTTGTGGCATGGCCAACCCCTCAGGGGGTGATTTCTTGCTTTCTGTCTTTCTATTGAGTGCACATGCCCTGTAGCAAAAACTCTCAAAATAAATAAGTAAATAAAAGGAATTAGTCCCGCGTATCTGTGGTTTTAAAGCCCCTCAGTGATTACAATTGCAATCACTGGCTCCAGCAGTAATTTGGATTGGAAAGAAACAAGACCCACAGCTTTTGAAATCATGATGATGGTAGTCTGACCTAGACTGGGTCTCTGGCAATGAGAGAACTAAAAGATATGAAAAGTTACCTGGAAAGCAGAATCAACAGAACTTTAACAGTTATTGGCTGTTGTGGAGTCATTACATATGACAATACTGTCCCCATAATATTCAGAGGAAAAAAATGGTATTTACAGAAGTTATAAGCTTTGTTATTTATAAATGTTTCATTATTATTTTTGAAGTTTATTTAGGGCCACCAGGTGGTGTAGAGGTTAAGGTGGTTCCCACCCAGAGACTGCCCTGAACATGCCAGGTATGCCTGTGTGTCCATGACGTAGGACTAGCTAAAGCTGAGAGTTGACTGTGGCATAAAGACCTCCTGGGGGTCCTGTCTCTCTCTTTCTCTCTTGCTCCTAGAAAGCACAAATAAACTTTAAAAAAATGAAATCATAGGGACCAGCAGTTGGCATAGTAGCTATGTTGCTGGATTCCCATGTGGTCGACTGTGGTTCGAGTCCTGGACCCGGTGGCTTAAACTCATGCCGGGCGCATGTATACGTGTGCCCGAGATCCCGAGAGGAGAATGGAGGAGAAGGGATTACGGTGTGGTCATCCCCCCAGAAGGGTTATTTCTCACTTTCTGTCTCTGTCTCTTTCTGTCTTTCTGGAGAGCGCACGCACCTTATAGCAAAAACCTCTCAAAAAAAAAAAAAATTAAATCATACAGAGGTAATCTTTTGTTTCACTTAGCATAACAAGATTTAGCTATGTTATTATGTACATTGACATTGTGTTCCTTTTTATTATTTTGTAGTATTCCATGGTATGACACCATAATTTACTTATTTCCCAGTTAGTGAACATCTGAACTTCTTCCAGTTGGGGCTATTTAGAATAATACTGCTATAAACATTTCTTACTGGTCTTAGGTAGACATGTTTTAATTTCTCCTGGGTAACTAGAAATTAATGGAATTGCTAGGCCATATGCTAAGTGTTATATTTTACTTTAAAAGATCATGGGCTGGGACCAGCAGTTAGCATAATGGCTATGTCGCTGGACTCCCACGTAGTAGACCGTGGTTCGAGTCCCGGACCCAGGGGCTTAAACTCACGCCGGGCGCATGTGCATGCGTGCCCAAGATCCTGAGAAGAGAATGAAGGAGAAAGGATTGCAG